TCTGTTCCCCCTCCCTTGCTGGATCAGGTCATAGGTCCAGTAGGTCTCCTTTGGCTGCTACTGGCTACCCCCATCCCCAACAAAGGTCTCAGCTTCAGCAAGCCCCAGGTCTTGGCTCCCTGGCATTTCCAGCCCCACCCATTCCCAGCTCTATAAAGTCGAGGTGAGGTCAGGAGCCAGGGAGGGCCCTCACCCGCCTCTGCTTGCCCACCTTGGCCCAGACTGGAGTCCAGGAGCCCCACCCTACAGGAGCTGTCAGGTGTGGTCATGGATGCTTTCAAGTGTGGTCCTGCCAGGCCCAGCCACGCTTTGGGTGGGGGCGGCCAGGTTGCCTTACCTGCCAACCCTTTGTAGACAGAGGCTCCCTTTAGTAGCGCCCTGCATCTTGCCAGAAGCCAGGGCAGGGAGGGTCCATTCCTGCTGCCCCAGCCAGGAAGTTGTGCCAACTAGGACCTAGCTCCCAGCACCCTGCCCATGGTGGGTGGGGGAGGCACGACTGAGACTTCATATCCATCTTCAGTGGATCTGTTCTTGAGGGACCTTGTCAGTCACAAGGGAGGGGACATGGGTAGCTCTGAGAGGTGGCAAGAGGGGGCAGGGTTGCAGGAAAAACTGGGTTTTGGGGTCAGACAGGCTGGGCTTGAACTTGGGTGCTGCTATTCACCGGCCTGGTGACCTCTTTGAGCCTGCTGTTCCCATCTGCAAAACGTGGGTGGTAATGACACACCCATCTTGTAGGGTTGTGGTGGGTCTCAAATGCAATCATGTGTGGGAAGTGCTTGGTGCTCTGTAGGTGTTCATCATTATTAACGAAAGAAGGCCTTTAATTTTGGAATACTGAGACTTAGACTAATAAGAATTATATACAGTTGTATGCACTTTGTGGCAAGTCCAAGTATCTTATCCGAGTCCCATTTCTGAGATGAGAAGACTGAGCTGGACCTGCCCCAAGGTCACAAAGTTGGTGAGGGGGTAGAGGGATTGGAACTTAAGTGTCCTGACTCTCTGTGAGCAAGGGAGAGACTTCCTAAGCAGTACGGGAAGGGCTATGGGCTGTGGGCTGGTGGGCCCTGGGGGAGGTGTGCAACCGAAGGGCGGGGAAGGTGGGGCCAGCCTCTCTGGAGTCCCTTCCAGCCCTGACCAGGCGCCCTTTCCAGAGGTTGCGGCCAGGTTCCCTGGGCACAGGGCGAGAGGAGCGAGGGCTGAATGTCAGCCCACCTGCCGGTGTGTTCTTTGACAGTCCTCTACTCCATCATTCCAGGCACTGAGCTGCCAGGGGCTAGTTTTCCTGGGATTAAGAGGCCAACTCCACCCCCCAGGGATTTCCCAGTAGCCACAGGGGCAGTGGTGGGGGAGGCAAGCTCGGGTCTGGGATTCCTTAATCAGAGGGGCCCCTCCCCTCACCACCCGCCAGCTCCAGAGTCTGTGGTACTCCGCAGCAGCCTGAGACCAGCCTCCCGGCCTCCTTGCCTGGCACTGAGGCCTAGGCCTTGGCCACATTGGCTACACCTTTGACAGGCCTTTGCCAACTGCCGCTGAGCCAGCCCCTCCCTCTCTGGCTCAGCCTCAGAGAAAGCGCTAGAGTCTTCAGGCAGCTGCCTGAGCTCCCTGGAGAGACCTGACAGCTGATGGATTGCGCCAGTCACTGGGCTTACTGGGAATTAAAAATGTGGGCAACAGTAATTAGAGCACATGGGGGTGGGGGGCACCAGGTCTTTCTGGAAGCATCTAGACACTGCCTCTCTGGGAGTCCCTCTCCAGCCTGCCTATCCCCTAGGCTTCTGCTAGCCTTGGGTGTCACCTCACCCCCTCACCTCTGAAGGGGGAACAAGGAGGGGCCACGTGGGGAGGGCTGGTGATCTGTCGTCTGGCCCCTCCCACCCTGATGTCTAGCAGAAACAATCTGTCTAGCTGGGGAGTCTGGGGACCCGCATGTCTCTGGCTCTGTGACCTTGGCCAGCAGCCGGCTCCCGTGACTCATTTTCTTCATCTGTACAATGAGACCATTGGACTGGATGTTCTCGAAGGCTCCTTCCAGCATAGTGAATCAACAGTTTTTCCTCCACTCGCCCTCACTCCCCCCCACCCCCGGCTGTCTGCACTGCTTGCTCTGTCACCTAATCCTGCAGGAGGGGGTGTGAGTGTGTGGTGAGTGGTGGGAGGCGGTGAGGGAGGACCTGGCCTCCCCTGTGGTGGCTGTGGGGGTGGGAGGCTCTATGGCTGGAGCACTCTCGTGTCTTGGGTGTCCTTGAGTGGAGAGGGGCCTGGAGAAGGAAGGGCAAGTGCCCGGTGGTGGGGCTGGTTTGCTGAATATACCGGCAGCATATTCACTCACTGGCTGGTGGGAGACCAGGCGGCTTCCGTGAGCATCTCACAGAGGCAGGGGATGGGAGATGCTCGCTGGGACTCCTAAACTGGGTGTGTGCACGGACTTGCTACCCTGGGTCTGGGGATGCAGGAAACCAGTTAAGGAGAAGAGAAAATATCTAATAGGACACAGGAAGCCCTGACTCCCGGCTGCTGTGTGTTTAGGAAGGGGAAGGACAGAGGGGTCCCTGAGGCCTCCATCTGCAGAGACATGAGGAGAAGACCTACGTACAACACCCCAAAGGCCCACATCCTGAGAAGTTTCCCCCGTGCAGACACCCCCCCACACACCCCTGACTACCAGATGCAGAATTGGAGTTTCCTGTTTTCCTGCTTGCCTTCCTGGAGGTATTTTTCCCTTTCCCCAAGGTATAGGACAGAGTTCAGGCTGAACCCTCAGTCTGTGGGAAGGCAGAGGCTTGGTACTGTCCCCATTCTTCCCCAGGGATTGGACACCGCTTCCCCAGGTAGCCAGGATGGGCGCTGAGGGCAGAAGCTCCGGGTTTCCAGGCTGACATAGACCCTCTGCCCGCGGCTCTCTCTATCCCCGCCTGCTTGGTGCCATTCCTGGCCGGCCACGGACGGGCAATTTTCCGCCTCTCTGTCGCCCTCTAGTGTCTATCTGTCACCACCACACCTTGCCTTTGGTCCCTCCCCTCCCCTCCCCAACGTTTCCAGACGGGCTCACTCCCTGGCTCCCCAGTTCACTTGTTTACTCATTTGACAAACATCTCCAGGGTGCCTTTTTGGGGGGATGCAGAGGCCAAGAAGGCATGGCCTGGGCTCCAGAAACATGGATTTAGGGAGAGATGGACAGGCCCCCAAGTAAGCCGAACAAGAGCTTGGGAACCTAAAGGCAGGTACAGACCCGAAAGAGCTGGAAGGACCCAGAGGTGATCGTGGCCCCTGCAGCCGGGGACCAGGAAGTCTCCTTGGAGTAGGAGGCAGCTGAGCTAGGTCTTGAACCACGAGCTCACCGGTGGAGAGGTCATGCATGGAGGGCACAAGGAAGCCAGTCAGCCAGACATGGGTGTATTGGAGTCAAAGACAGTGATGGAAGAGGAAGCTAGGTGGGGTGTGGCGGTGAAGGGAAGTGGGGATGTTCAAAGCCCCCAGAGTCTCCAGGCTGAAAGGAAGGTCTTCCTGGGTCCCTGTTTTCCTCCCCACTAAGCTGCATGTTCTGCTTCTGCACTGAGCTTCTGGCTCATGGGTGCCAGGTCTCTCTGGGGTGGAGTCTGCGCCCCTCCCACTTCTTGGAGGGAAGGACCCCAGGCCTCTATGCCCTCCCCACACGCCCCAGGTGCCCAAATCCACAGAGGCCTGGTCTCACCACCTCCCATCCGGGCACCAAGTGTTTTATTAGAGTCCAATTTTTATCCGCACCGCGGAGAAAGAGGAAGGGGGGAATAGAGAGAGGGGGAACCCGGACCAGACCCCAGACCCCTCCCCCCCATGGGAGCCCAGGGCAGGTGCCCTGTTGGGCCAAGGAAGACTTTGTGAGATCCCTGAGGGCCCCAGGAGGAGTGGGCTGGGAGCAGCAGCAGAGGGCTGGGGGCGGGGGGCACTGCTTCCCATTGATGCCCAGGCCAAGGCCCTCAGTCTAGATCTTACCCTTTCTTCAAAGGGCTGTAGCACCCTTCTCTGGGTAGCCTCCACTGACCACCTCCCCACCAAACCCGAGAAGGAAATGCTCCCTTGGGCAGGCCCTGAAGTGCATGTTATCCTATGCCGGTGATCCTGTGCTGCCATCTGGCCCATGTCCCAGACATGGGGCACACTGGGACACCAGGCCTTGCTCGGTCATCGGACTGCATTGCCCTCTCCTGCTCCTCTAGGCTCTCCTTCTATCTACCCCTTCTCTCCTCCACCTTCTGACCTGAACCCCTTTAGACCTCATGGCCAGATACAGTGTGGTCTGAATGTCCCACCTCTTGTCATGCAGAAGGCCTGGCTGCTGTGGCCTTGGCCCAGGGCATGGGATGAGGGCTGAAAGGGAGAGCCTGGCCTGGAGAGGAAAGGTGGGACCAAGAGTGAGCTCCCCGGCTCCTCAGGCTGGGGCCCACCCGCTCGGTCTGGGGACTCCTGGGCTGGGGGAAGGGCTGCTGGAGGCTGTGGAGCCGGCCTCCAGCTCTCAGCCAGGATCCTGCCAGCGGCCCAGGAGGGAGCAGCATCCCGGTCTGGGTGGTGATGCACCGAAGGTTGGGCCATTCTTCCTTCTGTCTAACTTAGATCCTGCACCGCCTTGTCTGCCCATTGGTAGAGAGGATCCAAGGGCGCTGTGGAGAGGGTAGGGGAGGCTCCCAGGTCTGGCACCTTCCGATGTGTCCCTGGGTCCACTGAGCTGTCCCCAGCCTGGCAAGCTGGTATCAAACAGGAAGGGGGACAGGGTGATCCCTGTGTTCGCAAAGGCTCTTTGTTCCCTGGACACGGTGGGCAGGCAGGAGGTGGGGGTGGGGACCCTCTAGAAGCAGCAGAACCCAGCTCCTCCTCCTCTGCAGGGCGCCCACCCTCAAGGTCTTCCCTGGCCTGGGGACCTCCTTGTAGCAGAGGGGTGCAGGCCCCCTCACAGGTCCTGGGGCCTGACCCCTTGCCTTTCCCTATGCCAGGGGGCACCAAGCTCGGTCTGTCTGGGCTCAGAAGCCCCCACTCTCTGAGCTGCTCCGGCTGTGGTAGCTGGGACTGGGGGTCCGGGAGGGGCTGCGCGTGCGGCTGCGGGTCCCACGGCTGCGGCTGCTGTAGCTTCCATGGCTGTGGCCTGGACTGGGGCTGTGGCTGGGGCTCCGGCTTGAGTAGTCGCTGCTCAGGCAGCTGGAGGAGGATGAGGGGCTGGGCCGGTAGTAGGGGATGGGACGCTTTCGCGCACTGCCGGGAGGGAAAAAGCTGATTACAGGCCATTCAAGTCCCTGAGCTCTGTCCTGAGCTCTTTCTTGGGCCCTCACTCAGGCCCCGAGCCCTTTCCCAGCAGTGGCCAGGGCTTCCCTGCCTCAGTTTCCCCTGAGCTCTGGCCTTGGAGTGCCCCCTGCCCCAAAGGGATTGGACAGTTTCGTCGTTTTGTTTTTCCTCACTTGTCTTCAGAGAAAGGGGACCGAGTCTCTGTTTGGCCCAAGAAGGTGCTCGATAAATACTTGTTGAGTAAATTCAACTTTTAAATATAGACGCCTCGGGGCACCTGGGTGGCTCAGTGGGTTAAAGCCTCTGCCTTCGGCTCAGGTCATGATCCCAGGGTCCTGGGATCGAGCCCCGCATCGGGCTCTCTGCTCAGCAGGGAGCCTGCTTCCCTCTCTCTCTCTGCCTGCTTCTCTGCCTACTTGTGATCTCTGTTAAATAAATAAATAAAATCTTAAAAAAATATATATATATAGACACCTCACATCAACCAAGCTAAGCAGTTTCTGGACATGGAAAGGGTTGTGGGGATGGCCCAGCCCTGCTTCTCTGGTTCCCACAGAATCGAGGGTTTGGGTTTGTCAGGTCACTTCAAGGGGACAAGGAGGAAAGCCCTGACCGTTACTGCCCATGGCCACGGCCCCGCCCAGTCCCGCTGGCCCCTTCTCACTCAGCTACCTCCCACCGGCCCAGAGTTAGTTTGAAGCCAGGAGGCTGTGACCCAGAGAAAAGAAAAGAGAGTGGTTAAGGGGGCAACAGTGCCCCATGGCGTGGGGTTAATTCTGAGGAAGAAAACAGGTGTAGTTAGTGGGAGGAGGAGGCAGCCTGGGAGAGGGGCGGAGGGGGGTGCCAGGTGGAGGGTTGTAGAACTCCAACGGGCTAGGGCCGTCTGCATACAGGTGAGGCTCATGGCCTATATGGGGGTGTCCCAAGCCTGGCCATCTGGCCTCTAGCTCTGGGCTGAGCGCAGGAGCCAATGCCCTCTCCTCCCTGAGCCATCTACATCACCAAGGACTTGGAGGGGCTCGTTTGAGAATCTGTCCATGTTAGAGCTGAAAAGATGCTCAGGGAGCTCTGCTCATTGTTCAGACAGGGACACCCAGAGCCAGAGAGGCACACCCATCTCCCAAGGCTACCCAGCAAGGTCTGTGGCAGAGCTGGGCTCAGAATTTTGCTTGTAGCCCTGGACCCCAAGTCAGAGGTCTAGGGCTTCAGAGTAATTTCCACAAACACAGACCATAATTTCATGGGGAGACAGGCCCACACTGTAGAGTCCTGGCAGAGAAGCTCTCTGCTGTGGCTTCTGCCATATCTGCCACACACTCCCCAGGGCCCCATTGGACTGGGGTGGGAGGAGGGGAGAGGGGAAGGGACAGGCCCTCTCACAGCTGCCCCAGAGAGCAGGCTGCTGGTGCCCCCTCCTCTGAATTCCTGGGGGGGAGGACGCTGGGAGGTGAGCAGTGAGGTTAGTGACAAAAGGAGAGGCAGACAGATGACAGCTGAACAGAGCCAGATCAGCTCACATGGGCATCTCCCCTGCAGCCTGTGGGGAGGGGGTCCACCCGGCCCCCAGGCTGGCCACAGGCCACTCGGCAGGCTGGACCTTGAGATGAAGGAGAAAAGGAAATATCATTGCCGGGAGATGGACGTGGGGAGGACGGAGAGAGGGAGGGGCTCCAAGAGGGACTGTTGGAATCTTCCGGAGCTCAACTGCAAGCCCGCTGCTGTCCCACTCAGACCCAAGTACACAGCCCTCTTCCCACCGTGGGCCTTCAGACCGCTGCCTCTGCGTTCCGCCCTCCCCAGCACCTCCAGTTCTAGCTTCTCTCCTCCTACAGGGACCTCTAGCCCTCACCAGGCCCTCTTCCTCCCCCCGAACCCCACCCACCTCCCCTCCCTGCACCGGGCTCCGTGCGTCCCGCCCGGGCCCCTCCGCACCTGGTGATGCGCCGCGGCTCCATGAAGCTGGGCGAGTCCCGGCGCCGCTTGCGGATGGGCGAGTAGCTGCGGGAGCGGCGCCGCGCGCGGGCGGCCTCGGCCTCGGCGTGCCTCGCGCGGCCCTCGCCGTCCTTGTCCCTGCGGGCCCGGCCGAGGTGAGCGACGCGGCCCGGCCCGCCCGCCCGGGCCCGGCCCCGCCGCCGCCCCTGCACCCGGCGGGACCCCGGGCCTACACTTACCGGCCCAGGGTTTTCTTGGGCGACGGCGAGCGGCTGGGGCTGCGGGTCCTCTTCTCCGCGGAGCGCGAGCGGGACTTGGAGGGCGAGCGGCTGGAGCTCCACGAGCGCGGGTGGGGGCCCGGGCTGCGCGACGAGCTCTTCCCCTCCGGGCCGCCGTGCCTGCCGTGCGCGCCCGGGGACGGGGAGGTGCTGGCCGGCCGGGCGCGCGGGGGCCGCTCCTTGGTCCTGGTGGAGAGTCAAGGCGACAGGGATTCAGCTAGAGAGACAGTGGGCTGGGCGGGGGCGGGGTGGCAGAGAGGGATTTAAAGGGGTGCGGGTGACAGGGAGGGGGCTCAGCTAGGGACCAAGGGGGTCACTGGGGGGAAAGGGATTCGGCAAGGAAGGAGTTCTATGGAGAAGGAGATGTGGATGAGAAGGGTTAGCGAGGGAGAAGTGGTGCGTGAGTTCGTGGAACGGGACTAGATTCCCAAAGGAGGGAAAAGGGCTGGGGGTGGGCGTGGGGTAGTGACATAAGTGTGGAAGAGAGTGTTCCGTGGTGTCAGGGAGAGTGATCAGTGTGAGGAGAGTGCTCCCTGATGGGAGGAGAAACACGGGAGGGGGTGGTTGGGACTCTGTTGGGGAGGAGAGCGATCGTTGTGGAGAAGGGAGAGCTCCTGGGCGGGGAGAGAGAGATCAGTGAGGGGGGAACTCAGTGACTGGGGAAGGAGAATGACCAAGTGACGGGGAGAGAGGTCGTCGGGTGGGGAAGGGTGCTCCATGGTTGGGGGGATTAGAGATCACGGAAGCGAGAGAGCTTACTGAGAAGGGAGAGTGGTCAGTGCGGGGAGAGGGGTCAGTGGGCGGCGGCGGGGGGGGGGGGGGGGGGGGGGGGGGGGGGCTGGGGGGGGGGGGGGG